AGACTTCAAGAAGGCTATCATTATAGGTTTCCAATAGTCATAATTTGAGCCTTCCATAATTGGTGGTCTATTTGTGAATCCTATATCCTTGTCCATAGTACCAGAATTTATCTTCCCTAGATTTCACCCAGAAAATAACAGGCAGGGTGCCTGCTCTTATGCCAATTGAAATTCTAGGTACCCAACAGTGGATGTTATCACGAATGTTATGACATCCACTGTAACACATACTACAAAACTTAATGACAAACTGTAAATGAAAAAAGTAAATAACACAAGTAATTGTTTACCCAGTTCAGTGCAAACCACACCTACATCTGGGGGCTACCAAGCCAGGGAGGAAATTCATTATTAGTAGAATTAATTTAGAGTAAAAACCAGTTTGCACTCTTCACTTAAGACCTACCTAATGACACTTCAGCCTAACAATAGACCAGAGTTACCAACTCACTCCCCCTTAATCACAGTAGCGATATCAACCAATTCAAAGTTATAAATGGCAATGAAGTCACACTTCAAACACACCTCGATCTTGCTTCACAACTTTGATCAAGTGACACAACACTCTTGCTTAAAAGCTTGAGAGTGACACACTTAACAGACAACTTAAGAACTATAGACCAATGCAATCATACAACAGATAATTGCTTGGTTTACAAGTATTCCTAAGACACACAAATACACGTGAAGAACAAAACTCTTCACTCGCAAATACACGTTCTCTAAACCAGTGTCAAGAATTGTCTTCAAATAGGATTGTTGCTTCTGTATATATAGGCAGCATATAGTCCTTGGGCCTTCGTGCAGAAGTTAGGTTTACCCAAGACAAACCTCTCTTCATGAAACTGCGCACGTCCAATTGAGTCAGAGGCATTCCATGTTCTCCTTAGCAATGCCTGATATGTCGCCTTAGATAACTAGGCTTCCTAAAATGTTTCCTGAAGTATAGCCTGAGCTAATACCAGAAACTAAAACCTACATGCCCTGATGTCATACGCTTGATGTCATAACATTCAGCATGACGTCCAACATACTTAACTCTTAGCTATTCAAACTTACCATGCTGAATCCTCATTATGTATGTCATAACATCAGTCATGAAATTCATACATCCATCAATGTTTTGCCACAAAATGCAACCAATCAAAAGCATCTACAGGTATCTCTAACAAGAAACTCTAATTAGCACTGCCCCACTGAGCATGCCAATTTGTTCGCCGTGAAATTTGGAGAACAACCGCTGGTCTAACAAATCGTCAAGACTTGTTTTAACTTGCAGGATCGACCACACTAGATCCTAGGACATAGCTAATCTGAGTTTAACGTTAAATGAAATTTAAAAGAGAAGGATAAGTGCTTCGACAATATTGAAACATGATGAAAAAGGTTTTGGCAATAGAACATGTAGGAAAGGAAAGTAACTTGGTTTGAAAAAGGATAACAATTTTTAAAAGAAGAAAATAAAGACCAGGAACTATAACGTGCAAGAAAGCAGTAAAGTAAAAGAAGATTCTTATAAAAGAAAAAGAAGCATTAATGAATTACAATAAAGAAAAGGTGTTTCGACACGTACATTCTTAGTTATGACTCTTTTCTCACTTTGACTTAGGTACTTTGAGTAGTTTTCTAAGTAACTTGTACTAAATGAACACACCAAAAAATCCTAAATTAAGCCACTATTTATAGCCAGTCGACAGAACTGCTCTTAATGACTCAATGGGTTAGATTAAACCAAATGTCACTCTGCATGCTTTATTTGCTTGAAACCATGCCATGTGCCTCATTCTACTGGGCGAAAAATAACTGTGTTTCCCTCCAAGATTCAAATTCAAACTCCAAAAGATCCTTTCCTATTGAATTGTCCATCTCCCAGTCGAAATTCCTGAAATATCCCCATAGTCGAAAATACTGTCTTTAACTTAACAACCCAACGTTTCTACCTGGGCGTCAAAATTCAAGGCTAACAATAGGTACCTCTTAATCTTATTGAAGGCTTGTTGATGTTCTGGTCCCCACCTGAAACCTTTTTCTTTCTTTAATCGTAACAGTGGTGAGAATACTTTTGTCTTGCCACTTAGATTCGAAAAGAATCTTCTTAGCAAGTTGATTTTTCCTAACAAAGACTGAAGTTGTTTTTTGTTGGTTGGGGACACAGTAATTTGTATGGATTTTGTCTTGTTTGAATTGATCTCCATTCCCTTCTTATGGATGACAAAGCCAAGAAAATCCCCTACATGAACATAAAAAACACATTTTAACAGGTTCATTTTAAGCCCGTGTTTTCTCATCCTTTTGAATGACTGTCGAAGGTGGTTGAGGTGACCATCCGTAGATGAAGATTTGATGACAATGTCATTAATGTAAACTTGCATGCATGTTTTAATAAAGTCGTGAAACATTAAGTTCATTACTCTCTAGTTCGTAGCATCAGCATTCTTCAGACCGAAAGACATCATTATCCATTCGTATGTGCGCAAGGCCTCAGAGCATCGAAACATCATTTTTGTTATGTCTTCCTCTGTAATGAAAATCTAGTTGTAATTAGAGTATCCATTAAGGATACTTAGATATTCGAATACGGATGCCAAATTGACCAACATCTCAGCTGCTGGAATTTGATATTCGTCTTTAAGAGTAGCAGAATTAAGATCTATAAAGTCTATGCAGACTTTAAGGGTGCCATTTTTCTTAATAAATAAAACAATATTAGCAAGTCATTCGACATACCTGGCACGCTTGATGAATTTATTCCGGAGCATTCTTTCAGTCTCAGCTTTGATCTTGGACATGATTTAAGGCGCAAACCTCCATGGGTTCTGCCTCATTGACTTCTTGTCAGGTCTGATCAGCGGCTTTAGTTCGACTAGGTCGCAACTGAGTCTAGGCATTTCATTATAGTCCCAGGCAAAGCAATCTCTGATTTCTTTTAGCACATTGATCACTTCTGCTTTTAAGTTCGGGTCAATTTTGGCACTAATGTACGTCGGCCTCTTTGTCTTCCCATCTCACAAGTTTATCTCTTCCAAAGGATACTGCACTTGCATTTTCTTGGTCGAGATTTTCGGGTCTTTTTCGAACTCCAAAGGCTCATCATCATAGATGTAATCTAGCCTACGACTTTTTAAAGTTGTTGTTTGGTCGGTGAAGCCAGATTGATCTGCCCAAGAATTCTCAAGCTTAATGGCTTCGACAACCAGTATTTGTTGAGATTCGGCCTCCAAGGCACCAATATTTTGTTTTCAGCCACATATGCCGAAATTCAAGCCAATGCATCTGACTCGTTCATGATCTCCATCTGATTCAGACTATAAGTTATATCTGTTTTCATTTTTTTAATATCTCGTATTTCCACGTCAGTTTTTTTATTTTATTTTATATTCTGATATTAAATCCGAAAATACAAAGTTTCAAAATTCACTTATGAGGAGTTAAATTCATGTCTTTTGAGTTAGCATGGTAATATTGGACCTCTAAACCAACCAACTCACTTGTTTAATCCATCGCAACAAATTTATATATTTCATAAATGATTTAAAAATGACCTAAATAGTTTATTAAATAGTTTAATTATTTCATATTATTTAGTTTAATTGATATTTCAACTATCTCATATTTAAACTATTAACATTTTAACTATTTATTTTATTGAATAATTAATTTATTAAATATTTCAATAATTTAATATTTCAACTATTAATATTTTAATTATTTTGTTTATAAATAATTATTTTATAAAATATTTTAAATATTTAGTTTATTAAATAATTAATTTATAAAATATTGTAAATATTTAATATTTTAATAATTTAATGTTTTAATTATTAATATTTCAATAATCTTTAAATATTTATTTTATAATATTGTGAAAAATACTATTTAATAATATTCTGGAATAGTCGAAATAATATGAAATAATATTGCAAGAAATACAGTGAAATGATTATTTAATATTCTATAATATTTTGAAAAATACTATTTAATAATATTTTGAATAACAATGTTAAATTATTTCACACAAACATATTAATTAAACTCTTTTGAAAATTGCACATTGATTTTAATAAAAAAATTTAATTGATTACCCTGTCAATTAATTACAATCGGTAAAAAATTTGACTTTAATTTTAATCACTTGAAAAATAATACTAAAAATAATTGTGATATATTGAGAGGGCAAATTTGTTTACACTACCAATATATAATAATTAATCTTTTAACAAAAATATAGAATTGATTTTTTAATTATATTTTTCAATATAATTTTTTTTATAAATAATTTCTTGACTCGACACAAGTTAATTTATTCGTATAACATATAAATTTATTACAATAAATTAAATATGAGTTGGTTGATTTAGTGCTCCACCTTATTACGATGTTAATACAGAAGTCATGAGTTCAATTTCTCTTAACATCAAACAAAAAATAATAATAAAAGCCTGCAACGTTAGACATGAGATAAACAGAGAGACAGAGAGGAAGAAGAGGAATGTATAGAAAAATAGAACTGCTTTTAAGGAGAGGAAAGTCCAAATCAATCAATGTTGTTGACTACGTATAATAGTAGTAGACTCCGAAAAATTGCACAAAAATCATGAACTATCAAAAAATCCAAATCCATTAGGATAAAGATGAAATAATAATCTTACCTTAAAAGGAGTTTTCCCCTACCTTATTAATCCGCGTTTGAAAAGTTTCCTTTACGCCAAAGCAAGAAAAGTAACAAATTGTCTCATAGCACACGGATACAAATCAAAGACACCCTTCCACGCGCTTCCGTCCTAGTTTTACAGTTACAACATTTCTCTCCATCACGAACCTTCCTCTTCTTGCCACTTACAACCAAACACACCCCCACGCGCATACACGCACGCGGTACTATTCTACTCATTTTAAACTCCATTGACTCCCAAGTCTTTCTTCTACTTAATCTCTCTTCTTCATAATCAATTTTATAATTAATTTTTATTAAGATCATTTTCTGCTGAATCTAAACAAAAATGAACAATTTATTCACCAATTCATTTTCTCGCTTCCACAGCGAAGAAGCCACGCCGGATCGCCACCACGTCATCGAGATGGCAGACGGCGGAAGTCCGGGAACCGGAGCTAGGGTAAACCTCGACAAATTCTTCGACGACGTCGAAGGCGTAAAAGAAGATCTAAAAGAGCTCGAAGGAATTTCACAAAAACTAAATAAGAGTCACGAACAGAGCAAAACGGTTCACGATGCTAAGGGAGTGAAAGATTTGCGTTCTCGTATGGACGACGACGTTTCGGTGGCTCTGAAGAAAGCGAAGATGGTGAAGCTGAAATTGGAGGCTCTAGAACGATCTAATGCTGCGAACCGGAATTTGCCAGGGTGTGGACCGGGTTCGTCTTCGGATCGGACGAGAAGTTCTGTGGTCAACGGGTTGAAGAAGAAGCTTAGGGATTCTATGGAGACTTTTAACAGTCTCCGTGAACTTATTTCTTCGGAATATAGAGAGACTGTTCAACGTCGTTATTTCACCGTTACCGGCGAGAATCCCGATGATAAGACGCTTGATCTATTAATCTCCACTGGTAATTTATTTTAAAAATTTTAAAATCGTGTTTATGACAATTTCATGTTAGATTCAACTCTTAGCATGATGAATTGAAGGTTTTGAAGGTTTTAAATAATGGCGACGGTCGTAAAGACACTTGCGATTTAGGTTTGTAATGATATTGATTGCATGATTGTAGTAGTTGCAGTATTACAGGTTTTTTTTATCATAAAAACTGTGAATAATGGTATCTGTTTTCTCGCGGCCTTTTTAGTGTTAACAGACAACTTTTTAAACCTTGCATTGAAATGAGATACAAAATAAAGAATTTATAAAACTGGATAAGAGTATATTAGTAGACTAGTTGGTGTTTCAAATTCTAGTGTAATATATAGGAAGGAGATAATCATTGGTTAAATTATGGATTTGTGCTTGGATTGAAAAACAAAAATTGAAATGGTGAAGAATTAGTTTATAGCTATGCAAGTGAGGACGATGTGTCTGGTGTTTGACACATGTGATTTCTAATTATTCATTTTTTAAATTTTATTATAAATATCATGTTAATGTCGGGTTTGGTGTCAGTGTCTCTCAAAAGGTGATTCTCCTTAGTTTCCAGCGATTTTAAGTTTTAATTAAGTTTGCCATCAAATTTGATGTGAGTTTCACTTGGATGCAGGTGAGAGTGAGACTTTTCTTCAGAAAGCCATTCAAGAACAAGGTAGGGGGCAAATTATTGACACCATCAATGAGATTCAAGAGAGGCATGATGCTGTGAAAGAGTTGGAGAAGAATCTACTGGCATTGCACCAAGTGTTTCTCGACATGACAGTATTGGTACAATTTCAAGGTGAGCAGTTGGATGATATTGAGAGCCATGTGGCAAGGGCGAGCTCGTTTGTGCATACAGGAGCTGAGCATTTAGAGACGGCAAGGAAGCACCAGAGAAACACAAGGAAATGGACCTGTTATCTTATTATACTTATTCTGATCATTGTTTTGGTTATTGTTCTCATCGTTGTGAAACCGTGGCAACATAATGGTGGCGGTGGGGATAGTCAGCCTGCTCCAGCACAGACAACCCCATCTCCTCCTCCTCCGGCTTCTACTTAACTCTTAGGGATTAAGAGTGTCTTTCTGTCTATAGATTGCTATGAATATTGGTTTCTTTATGTTTTTAGGATCTTGGAAGATTGTGACTGACATGGATTGACCAACAGTTTTATTATTTCAATCCATGAAAAAGTTGGATGATGAATTTGGATATGTATCTGGAAAGGAAATAGTTGATGGATTTGCTGAGGAGGTTAATTTTTTGGAAGTCATTATTTTGAATATCATTCTTTTTCTGTAAGTATCATGTTTGGTCTGAATTTTTGATCAGTTGGTTTGCTCACTGACTGATATTTTCGTTGAATCTTTCCATAGTACAATCACCTTAAATAATTTATCTTTGTTTTTACGATTTGTGAGGCTCGATTGAACTAAGGTATAGCAATATTGCAACTATTCCCAATTGATGAATTTGCTAATTATGCACTTCATAACTGTATCTGCAATTATGAGCTTAACTATATCGAACTTAACAATCATGAAATGTTAGTGTTCATCAATATTGTTATTCTGTCATCCGTAGTGCAGCTATTAGTAGGATTTAAACTCTGAACTTTATTGTTGTGTATGTTAGTTTTTAGTACTTGTGAATGCGAGTTTTTTTTACGGTTATTATCACATCAACTAGTAAATTAACGTGCTTTTGCAAGGATATCTTTTTGAATTCATATTATTTGTCGGTATATCTCATTTGTCAATTTTAAAATTTATTTTTCAAATCATAAGCATTCATAGAAATACAATCATAGACTAATAATATGCATCAATGGTTATTCTTTGATGCTAGTATTTTTAAATATTTATAAAAATAATACATTTATTTGATACAGTATAAACGCTTAGAATCCGTGTGTACGTTTATAAAAATATTTTTAATTTATTTTCGTTTATAAAAATAAATGTATCAATAGATTTTTTTTCTCGTTTATAAAAATATTTGTAACTTATTTTTGTTTTATAAAAATAATTGTATCAATAATATATGTTTTTGGTTTAAAAAAATAATTGTAACTTATTCTTGTTTAAAAAAATAATTGTATCAATAATAAACTTTTTTTTTTCTGGGCGCAAGGAGGGTCGAAGCCCAAACAACAACACTAACCATCATGCTAGACCCAAGCAAGAAGGCAGGGCAGTATTAAAAAATACAATCAGAAAATTTAGAATTGAGCCTAGCCTTAGCTAGTTGAGCCACATAGGAATTGGCTTCGCAGAGAATAAACTTAAAACACTAATTAACAAGGCTCTTGAGCTTATCTTGGATAGAACGAACTGTTGCGATTAGAATATGATATCAAATTATTAATTAATTTGAATCGCATCTTTAGTTCACAACCGCTCTTTGATTTATCCGAAGGAAAAGGTCAAAAGAGGAAAACCTAATTTTGCATCGTAAAGACAATGCGGGGAGAGATCTAGGTAAGGGGTTGGTTAAGCTTAGGGAAGGTACTAGCACCCTAAACTTCTGTAGTACTCTACAGGAACCTTTTGTTTATTGTATGTTTTTTTTTATATTTTATTATCTGTTTTAATATATATTGAGGTAAGGGATAGAGTGACCTAAAGACCTAAGGGTTAGTCCTAAGTTTACTCGGCAAGACGTCGCATCTTGTGCCTACATATCCTGACGGGAATGGAATCAGAGTAATTGTAGTTCCCCTCGAAAGGGAGGTTAGAAACGTCTTGACTGTGGTCAAGGTTTCAATGGGGAATAAACGTATCTTAAGGACACGCTTATGTGGAGTCTTTGAAACTCCTATTTCTACGTTGAATTTGTTAATTAAAAATTTAGGGTTGAAATTAGGGATTCCACGGCGGGAAACCCTAAAACAAAGTACGGCGACTCTTTGACCTAAAACTAGGGTAAAGGGTATTTTTGTCCACGGCGGGACGCCTAGGTTAATTAGGGTTTGAGACGGCTAAAACTAGGGTTATTGACTCGGCGGTCAAACAGCTAGACCTAATTCCTTCGGAGGGATTCTAACGGTAAAAACATGCAAAATACGACAAATTACTATTCGGCAGAATTAAAGTGCGGAAAAATAAAGAAAGCGGTAAAAAAAGCATCGCGACGATCACTCGCGTAAATTACAAATTCCCAAAAAATGCAAAATAAAATAACTGCGACCATGGCCTCACGTAAATTACATCCATGGAACAAAAACGAACAAATGAAATAATAACGAGTTGAAACAAACAAATTAACGAGGGTTAGACAAAAATGAAACGGCTAAATCACAACTTATTTCTTTTTGAGTTTTTATTGAGAAGAGGAGAGGAGAATTAATTTCATGCTTAAATGGAGAAACTATTCTAATTATTTACTAAAAATTTTAATAAAGAAACTGGTTTTAATTTTAATGAAAAAAATGTCTTGAAAAAAAAAATGTTTTAATGTTATCGAAAATAAATGTTTTAAATTTTAATTAAAAAAATGTTTTAAATTTTAATGAAAAAATTTGATTTAAATTCAACGAAAAAGGTTTTAATTTTTGTTTTAGTGAAAGAAAGGTCATTTTTTAATTTTTGTGTTAACTTAATGAAAAATGGTTTTAATTGGAAAAAAGCTTTAATTAAGAAAAACTGTTTTATTTAGAAATATGTTTTTAAATAAAAATGATTTCATTTTTGAAAAAAACTTTTTAGAAAGATCTTAATTTTTAAAAAACTAATTACGTTATGTTTTTCTTTTGTTGTTGAAATATCTTACCTAAACTTAATTGCATTATTAATTACAAACTACATAGTTAATATAAATGAAAAAAATAAACAATTGAATAATAAAATAAAAAAATGAAACGTAAATAAAAAGGCTTCTGCCGTTTTCTCCCTGGATGACTATCGAAGCTTTTCCTCTCCTTCAATCCTTGCATGTCATCTTCTATTTATTCTTCCCATTAATCTACAAACAATGAACAAAACAACACACAAAAATCATAAAATGCCGTAAATCAAAGGAAAGAGAAAGCTTACGGTAACGACGATGATGTTGAATTCAAACTTGTTAGGGTTCTTCCAAAAAAATTCCTTCTTCTGATAAATCGTGAGAACGGCCGCTGTTTTTCTCTTTTGTCTCCTTCTCCCCTTTTATCAAATGCAACTCATGTTTATATAGGTAACAAATTAGGGTTAACTCTAACCTAATGCCTATTTTAAAGCCCAACTTAAATAATTAGTCAAAACTAAAAAAACAAACTAAAACAATATTAAAAGAATAAAATCTTTTCTAATATTTTTAATTTTATGATTTTTTGATGTTTTTATGAGTAATATGGAAAAAAGTGAAAAAATAATATTTTTTAAAAAATAATTTAAATAAAATACGAAAATAATAATTAAATAATAAAAAAAAAACTATTTTGTTATTTTTTTTTATAAAAATAGAAAAGTTAGAATAAAAATAAAAGAAAAACAAAAAGTGAAGAAGGTGGGATTTGAACTCTCGACCTCTCACACTCACAACTCCTTACACACGTTCTCTTGTCAATTGTGCCATTTTATTCATTCAAAATAAAGTGGCACTAGAAACTATGTAAAGGTAGGACAAATTTGGGGTGCAACAGATGCCCCTATTTAAATAGCTTCACCGGATGATTTGAGCAGCGGAGACTCGAGAAATCGCGGTGAAAGGGATTTAAATACAGATAACCGGAAATTTGGCCCCTAGATGTAGTGATATGCAATGATATGGACAAAATAACACGAACTATAATGCTGACAATGCCATGAATCTAATATGATGCGTATGATGAAAATGAAAAAAATGCACGGATGCAGACGAAACAACGTCACAGGGGACGGCGCAACGAGGAAATGCACTGGGGAAGAAGACACGCGGTGGTGACAAGGTAACATAGGATCCACACGGAGGCAGGACCAGGTAAACGACAGACGCTAGAGTTTTCGGGACATTCCTTGAAGAGATCGAGCGGGATCTTCAGGACTCACCAGAAAACATATAGGGAGAGACAAACATCAGAACATTTTGGAAGAACATCGAAAAGGAGACACGTCGTATCTGGAAGAACGTCAGATAGACATGACACAAAATAGTCGATGGGTGCCAAGTAAACTGGACTTTGTCCACAAGGTAAGACGCGGATAAAACACAACCTCGGGGATAAAATGCAAATGGGGATAAAACACCCATGCTGCCAAGTAACTAAATTCGTCCACAAGGTAAGACGCGGATAAAACACGACCTCGGGGAGAAAAATGCGAATGGGGATAAAACACCCATGATGCCAGGTAAATTGGACTTCGTCCACGAGGTAATACGCGGGTAAAACACGACCTCGGGAGAAGAAGCAAATAGGGATAAAACACCCATGATATGCACATGTATAAGAATTATGCTATGATATATGATCACATGCAAATGCAGATGTCAATGACAAGGCTCGACTCTGTTGGTGAGATGACAAAACTGGAAAACTGATTCCTCAACCCGGAGATCACTGTCACTTGCTAAATTGTAATCAGGTTGATGATCCTCGTAGGAAGGATGGAAAGCCGCTTGGAGATCTTTCAAGTAAACTGCCCCAGATTAAATTGTCCATTACAGATGAACTGATAATTGCTTCAGCTTGTCTAATTCTGAAAATGACTATTTTACTGTACCCTCGGAAGTTTTGCCCCAGTCTGAGTATTGAAAATCTCATGGATAAACCAGATCTGAGAAGACTTTGCCCCTGATAGGATCACTTGACCAAGTTTCTCGATTGTTTAAAATTTCCTTAGAGGAAAGCCGGTTTGCAAACAAAAATATTCATACAAACATGGTAATGCAAAGTTCATGCAACTTTTGAAATCAAAATTATTTTTGAAAGATGAAAAATAAATGAGTCATCGATTAGAACGCGGCGGTCCAGGACACTCAAAGTTTAATACAGGTATACGGCCAAAATAAATGATTCACAAAGATCTTTAGGAGTCAGCTTACGCAACCTTGATGTAGCATGCTTTCAAAATATCCTTGTTTCAATTAGGTCTTTTGAGGA